CCCCAAAACCCCAAAACCCCAAAACCCCGTGTATCAATTAAATAAAGCTATTTAGAATAAAAGAGTGTTAATCTTATTAATTTGCTATAAAATGTTAAATAATTTAGCATTCTAGACAGATGGACCCATCAAATAAGTAGACTAAAGTGAATTATAACAATAAGATTCAAGACTATATTAGTTCTCAATAATATAAGCTGCTATATAAAGAGATAATTCTTCTGAATCTAATCTTGAAACAATAGCAATAATAGAGATTGACGGTTAAAAATTTGAATGCTCACAAAAATCAGATAATGCTTTGAAGCCAACTTGGAATTACAAGTTTTATTTCAAGATTTAAGATAGTTTGCTAAAATAAAATATGTCTATCTAAGTCTTACTGAAAGATCAGTCAGATTCCTTAGAATTAGTTGGCAGCACGAAGCAACCACTAAAAGATTTCATATCAGTTGATTTAAAGGACAAGAAAGGCTAGTACTTCTTAAATTTTAATGGTAGAAGTGCAGGATATATTATTGTTGAGACTAAATATCTCGATTAGGCTTAGAGTATTACATAATCTCACTAAAAAATAGAGCCGATATCGATTAAGCCAAGCATTATGACTTTGAAAGTAAAAAATTGTCAACTATAGTTAGCCAATCTTGAAGCAAGCTTTAAAAGCCTTATAGTGTAGATCCAGTTGGGTAATTAAATCTTATTAAGAACATGAGCATCATAGATATTAACACCATTGCAGTAGTAATAATAGCAGATTGATTTACAATTTAATTAAAACTTCCTCATAAAAGTTAACAATCTCAATGAAAATCTATCTTTCAAGCTCATCTCTGAGAACAATCAAATCATCGGATCAGCTTAGTATTCCCTTTAAGAAATCTATAAAACTTCCTAAAAATCTCAAGATTTTGCTATCAATTTGAGCAATGATAAAACTAATTAGCATTTAATGATTGAAGCAGAAATTAGCTTTAAACATTAAAAATAGCTTTCTATTGAGAATCATAACAAAAGTGGTGACTTGACTTTAAAAGTAGAATACTTTACATTAGATTAATCATCACAACCAAAATATTACGCCAAAATATTGATTCAAAGTGATGAGAATCAGATAGAGACCTAGGAAATACAAGCAAATGCAGTTTCAGATTTGTAATAATTGGTCTATATAAGAAGTCTTAGTGAAACTTTACAAATAATTTTGGTTGATTCCTAGGATGAATATTAAACATTTGGCCATTTAGAGATTAAAGCATGTGCTTTAGTTGAAAACTAGCAAGATCTATATTCATTGGTAAATGAGATTGGATAAGAAAGTGGAAAGATTTTTATATAGGCAACTTTTATAGAAAGAATCAAACTAGTAAAGATCGAATAACCTATGAAAAGTAATGTGAAAAAGATAATTAAAAATACTTAGGAGACACTTTTTGAAACTGCAACTTCATTTCCAACGTAATTTTGAATAGTATATTGACTATTTTAGAATTAAAAAGGACCCCTTAGGTGTAGCTCAACCAATTGAAATAAAGCCGATGTTTTTAAAATAAAAATACTCAAAGATCAAACTCTCTCCAAGAAATTAATCTCATAAACAACCTTCGAAAAGTAAAAGCAAAACTAAAAAATAGGTTTAATTAAACAGTAACCCTACTTCCTTTCGTAAGTAATGGGATGACTCATTTGCTGTGATATCTTCTACAAATAAGACTAAACTTCACGCCTATTATAAAGTATATTTCTGAGAGTTAATTATTGATAGGTATTCTTCGACAAGCCTATGAAGAAGACTCCAGACAATATGTTTAGACAGCGGAATGCTCAAGAAACTTAATCCAGAACTCACTTAGACAGTATGTACTCTCCAATTAAAGAAAGAGATTGGGATCATCATTTCCACAAGATGAAGAGCAAAGATAATGAGAGGATGCACCCACATTTCAGAGAGTTCTTCGATAAGCCTATAAATTACAGTCCTAAGAATGAAGATATCAAGGTGCCTGAACCTGGAGAGAACTACATGAGAATGACTCATAGAAAGTTTAATAATACAATGCTCTATATGGGATCTTCAAAGAAGAATCTATCAACCGATAGAAGTGGCAAGAATATGCTTACATTGTATAACTAATCCCAAGAATCAATGCAAAATTTATCTTTTGGGCCAGTACTGCAGACATAGAGTAGCAATACTATGATATAATTTAAGGACAGAGATACGAAGGTTTTAAACAAGTATGGTAAAAATACGCTAAATCATAATTAGCGGAGGTATATGTGAAAGACAAATTTAATTTTGAGAATACATTATTAAACTAATTTTTATTTCTTTAATGATCTCAATGCTACATTAAGGGGGTTTTGGGGTTTTGGGG